GTAGCAAATAAGTCATCTAATTACTGGCAAAGATAAGACCCTACTCTTCTAACTTACTCCTTTCTATCTTAGTTACTATCAACCATTAAGAAGAGACTAAGATATAATAAGAGGTAAGAAAACTAATAATATATAAAGCTTAAGATAGCCTACTAACTTATCTGGCTAGATAGAGTCTTAATTAGTAGACTTTACGACTCTCTATACTATTTGTAAAGTCTTTTACTAAACCTTGTCAGCTTACTTAAATACCTTCTATCATACCTTTATTAAGCTTAACTACCTTTAGTAGGAAGCGATTCTTTCCTTCAATTAGGATTTTAAGAAGGCTAAAAAGGATTTTAAAAGTGATTAGACTATATAATACTATTCTAAGGAGATTAAGATATAAAGGATAAAACAGAAGCTTCTATAGCCTTAGATCTTTGCCTTTGCTAAGCCTTTAAATCTTAAGCTTTATTCTATTTTTCTTTCTTTTATATTAAATTAAAATAAGTCTTTCTAATGATTAGTCCTTATTCTCTCTTATAATTAGCCTAGTTTATCTATCCAACCTTATATAATGACGATAAGTAAATATTAGATTTAAGATGATGATTATAAGTAAAACGTTTCTTAATCAATAGTTTATTATCTGACTATAGTACTTAAGGTCTAGTAAGAATCTATTTCTGCTAATCATTATTAGGTTACCTTTAAGAAATAAGGAATCAACTTGATGATATAGCTTAATTACTTATTTAAGTATAGTATTTAGATATACTTTCTTTACTTAAGCTATCGTAAGAAGAGACTCTACTATCATTTAGATTTATAAAGCTGACTCTATTGTTTAAAGCCTTTATCTCTTTTTTTATTAAATTGTCCTTTATATTTATAAAAAGAGTCTTTTAACTATATTGATAAACCTTAGTCTTATTATTAGCTTTATCTTTCAATAATTAATTAAAGATATCTTTTTAAAGATTAAATATCTTCTTTAACTTATTAGAGTCAACCTTTATATTTATCTTTAAAATATAGTCGCTATATTCTGCCTTAGCTTTAGGTTCTTTTATAGTAATAATAAAGTTTAAGACTCTAGAGATTTAATCTTTTTAAATGTTATTAATTTGAAAAGCTTTAGGTATATATAAGGCTATCTTATTTCCAATCTCTTTCCTAATCATGATAATCTAAAGCTTCTATATTAGGTCTTAAAGGTTAGAACCTTTACGACTCTTATAAACTTTCGAGTCTATCTAGTTAATAGCTAGCTTAATATAGTAAAAGTGTTATTTCCTAAGGAATATCTATATATTTTCAAGTAAAAAAAGACTATACTTTCAATAGGCTCTTTAAGTAATAATCTATATTGACTATATTGTCAAAGCCTTATAAGTTAGAACCAATATCTCTTACTCTTTTAGCCAATCCTTTAGTAGTTCTTCCACCTATCATATATATCAAGCCAAAGATCTTCTAAGGAAAGAGTCGAAAAAGTAGGCATTATAGTGAGTCTGATTATAGATACCTAAATACTAATGATTATACTAATATAGTAGATATATAAGAAATCAGTAAGTTTAGATAAGAAGAATATCATCTTTAGTCATAGGAAATTGCTTTATCTTTAATTCTTATATAATAATAGTCAGAATCCACACCTAAATAAAGATATCTTAACATTCTATAAGTAGCCTAGCCTTAATCACCTCCTAAGTAAGCTACTTATTCCTCATTAAATACCCTTCTAGATTATAAAGCTCTAGTATATAAGTAAGGATAGAAACAAAGCCTAGCTTCATTTAAGTAACTAAAACGTTTAATCTATTATACCTTACCTACATACTTTAAGGCTTAACATACAAAAAGTATTATATAAACATCTTTAATATATATTCTCTAGCCAGCATAAAGAAATAAGCCAATCAACTAATTAGATTAATCTTCTTAATAGAAGGAAGTACTTTAGCTCTTATATTTATAATTCTATAAGTTTGGCTAACCTCTCTAATTAACATCCTTAACTAAGCCTAAGAAATATTTATAATAATATCTCTTTATTAACTTAATAAAGAAGGTATAGAATCAGCTCTCCTTTGATTAGTAAGACTGATATAGCTTATAGTAGCTGATTAAGCCAGTTAATTAGGCCTTATAAGGCTATTTTAATCAATAGATAGCTTAATAGACAGTAGCCTCCCAATCAAACTAGAAGGTCCTATAAGTATAGAAGAAGGAATGACAGCATTATTCTATAGCCTAAATCTAATAGAAGCCTTAAGATTCTATATATTATCATTTTCTATAGAAGATTAAAGTCTAGCAAATGTTGACAATCTAAGGTTTAGGCTAGTAAGTGATAAAGAAGCAAAGGCTTATCTAAAGGAAGGCTTAAATATATATAAAACTAAAAGCTTTTTAAGACGATTTATAATATACTAATAATTGACAGTAGAAGGCTTTCTTTCACCTTAAGATATAGAAAGCTTATCTTTATTAGTTTTCTCTTTATTAAGGCTATAATCGTGAAAAAGGTATCGCTACTTCTTAATAAGTCGTTTATTATCGTTGTTAGACTTTATATTAAATGATGAGAAGAAGTAAATCATAAAATCATCCTCTTTTTCTCTCTTACTTACGCTACTTATTTAAAGTAAATAAAAAAGGAAGAAAGAGTTAAACTTAATCAGTCTTAAATTAATATAATACCTTTTAAATTGTTTTCATACGACTATAATCGTATATACAAAGGAAAAGATATAAGGAAGGATTATTATCGTAAGGATAGATAGATATAAAGTTGAAAGGAAAACACTTTGCCTAATTTATATTTATATAACGAATATATTTTATATAAAAATAAAGAAAGCTCTTTTCTAATCATATACTCCTTCCTTTTATATAAATATAATCAATTTGTTTTATTTTATTATTTAAGTTATATAAATTATATAAGCGTTTTATTATTTTTCCCTCTTTTCTTATCTATAAATACCGTCTACTACCCTATATATCTTACCCTCTATACCTTTCCTCCTTTTCTTAACCATTATTT